TCTCTCTCTCTCTCTCTCTCTCTCTCTCTCTCTCTCACTCTCTCTCTCTCTCTCTCTCTCTCTCTCTTCTCCTCTCTCTCTCTCTCTCTCCTCTCTCTCTCTCTCTCTCTCTCTCTCTCTCGCTCTCTCTCTCTCCCTTTCTCTCTCTCTTTCTCTCTTTATGCTTGCATGTATGTATATGTATATGTAAAAGACAGATAGATGGATATAGATATAGATATAGATATAGATATAGATTTAAATACAGAAACATACAATATTACAAATCCAGTCCCCCAGCCCGGCCCAATGCCTCGCACGCAAAGGGCGGACGCAGGGCCGGGCTGGGCGAGGTCGGTGCCCCCGGAAAGTTCGATATGTGTAACTGTGTCAGAGTTAGTTGTCCCCGGGTGACCCTCAGCCTGCCGGCCCCATAGTGACAATAACCACCACATGACATGCGATACTACACCCTCCTGCTGCTTGCTTCTGCTTTCACAGCAACATGAGACACAGCTTTCTGGAAGCTTCTGAGTTACGATTTTAGATTTCCCTTTTTTTTAATGGATATGCAATAGAGGTTAAAACGCTACTGGAAATTAGTTACAGGTTGACACTATTTTTCCCCAGCAATGCATTTGATAGCGCATCTGTGCCTGACGAAATGCTAGCGTCGCTGCAGCAGCTATTTAACAGCCCTAATAGCGACACGTGGCCCTTTTATTCTGCGACAAGCTAAGAATTAATTTACGTTTATATAATCAAGACCTTTTCCTTGCAGCGCATTCTTGTATTTAGCTTCTATTGTTTGCCTCTCGGACGAGAAGCAACCATTCGTCTTGAGTGTATGAGGTATTGAGTATTCCTGTTGTGTCGCCCCTGTCACTCTTGTTGTCTCGAGACGGGAAAGTGAAAGTAAAGAGTCAGGTCTCAAGACGCCCCCACACCGTGGTCGCGCTTCAGGAACTCTCTCTCTCTCTCATTCCTTCTCTCTTTCGCTCTGCCCTCCCTCCCTCTACCCCCACCCTAATATTTATATGTTTTTTGTTAAATGTACACAGATGCTATAGAGATATGTGCATTTTTATCATAGTAAAATGTCTGCTAGAATCTAAAACTTACAGTTTCAGAATAAATACTTCGTAGCGGCTTTAAATATTATTACAATAGTTACCCCTGATATCTGCTACTGGGAGATGGGATCGAAGGCGACATGTGAAACCTGGCGCGGAGTGTCCGTGGAGTTTGGCCTCGGAATACCATCGCACTCTCAGACCAAGCAGAATGGCCGGCAATTACGTTAAGGCGTCGCGTGAACCTTCTAATCCGATTACGTAAACGACATAGATCGGGATCGTGAGAACGTATATCAAACAGACCCATCATACTGACATTTACTTGTGATCATCAAAAGTATGGCAGGATGTGACATTATTTGCTTGTCATTTTACAATCTGCACCTGTTGGTTTCACCCAGCGACGCGCTCATAGACAGTACTAAAAAGAATAAGCCAGATTTTCGCATAGTTTGTGAGCTACGATTTGGTATACTGTTAACTCTAGCAGAAGTGCCTGGCGACAATGATGTCACTGACATCATGGAACGTGCGAGGATGACATCTACGATTAAATATTCGTGGGCGATGTAATCAACCGTCCGCCGCAGCCTGACCTTGGCGCTGTGAGCTCTATGCTGCCCGTCCGTAGGGCTCAAAATGAAATTACTTCCCAGAGTTCAAGGTAACGCTGGAGAGGGGATTGTCCTAATAACCTTCAGACTGTTGTCGATGTCGACGGCCTTCGTCGTAAATATGTGAAAGGAATTAGACGTGCGTTCACAGGGACATCGGCTCGGACAAGTTGAGCCTACTGTCCTTCGGCGAGTGAATGTGAACCCGGCCAGGTGTGAGAACGTGAGTATTCAACAGGAACAAAAGCAACGCGCGGCAACAAGGCGCAAGGACAATGACACCAGCGCTCCCTGTCCGAGCAGTACGAATTAGGCAATAAAAACTAGCCTCTTACCCCCCCGTCCATGCTATCACGCCATTCTCATCGCATACGCCATTATGGGAAGCAAAACGTCGCTTGCAGGTGTCGCAGGACCTCCAGGACAAACCTGTCAATGGCCGAAGGCGTCGGAATCGCTCGGAAAAATCTTCCTTCACCTCTTTTTTATCTCTCTCTCGCTCCCCTCCCCATCACCACCTCCTTGCGCCTGCCAACACATCTCTTGGCAAGCCAGACGTGCTATTAGTATTTTCTACAAGGTCAGTATACTAAGGGTAAGGGGGGGAGGGTGAACATGTGATGGCGTGGGTAGTGAGGTCACTAGTTATTTTTTTCTCGCTTTCCAAGGCAAAAGGCCTCGCGACCGTTGAAGTTATGGGGACGTTAAGTAAGGATTGCGAATGACATATCTAGAGTGAGTGACGTGTGGAGGTGACTATAGCGAGTGGAGTCGTGGGGGCTTCGTGAGGGCTTCCGCTGGAGGGCCAAGCGACGACGCCGGAGTACGTGTCAAATACACAGTGGCGAATCTTAGTTGCTTGTGCGCGACCTTAAGACGAAATCGCATGTATATCTCACGGTAAGAAATCCCTCACGTGAGCGGCCGTGACATGCGCTACGAGGATCTTCGCTCCCACGTCACATTTTGGAAATTAACATTCACATCACGCGCCTAGTGTGTTACGTCCCAGCAGAGTTATATATATACGCACAGTCTTTTCTGACCTTTTGACCTTCTGTGTTGCACACACAAGGAGGAAAAGAGACAGAGGCGGAGGATAGGAGGGGGATGCAAAACTCACGTCCCATCAACCACGGCACCTGCAGTGGCCATGACACGCAGAGACTATTCTTATTAGAGTAATCACGACGAGCGTCTCCCTTTGAAATATATTTGCATGCCATCGGTGGATGTGTCTTAAAGCATCCCTTCTCCTCCCGCCCATCTTCTGCAGGAGGGGAAGGGATCCATGCCTCCCTCTCCTTCCCCTTCTCCTCCCTTCCCTCCCCTCCCCTTACCCCCCCCTCTCCTCCTCCTCCTCCTCCCTCCTCCCTCCTCCTCTCCTCCTCCTCCTCCTCCCTCCTCCTCCTCCTCCCTCCTCCTCCTCCTCCCCTCCTCCTCCTCCTCTCCTCCTCCTCCTCCTCCTCTCCTCCTCCTCCTCCTCTCCTCCTCCTCCTCCTCCTCCTCCCCTCCTCCTCCTCCTCTCCTCCTCCTCCTCTCCTCCTCCTCCTCTCCTCCTCCTCCTCCTCCCTCCTCCTCCTCCTCTCCTCCTCCTCCTCCTCCTCTCCTCCTCCTCCTCTCCTCCTCCTCCTCTCCTCCTCCTCCTCCCTCCTCCTCCTCCTCTCCTCCTCCTCCTCCTCCTCCCTCCTCCTCCTCCTCCCCTCCTCCTCCTCCTCCTCCTCCTCTCCTCCTCCTCCTCCCTCCTCCTCCTCCTCCTCCTCCTCCCCTCCTCCTCCTCCTCCTCCTCCTCTCCTCCTCCTCCTCCCTCCTCCTCCTCCTCTCCTCCTCCTCCTCCTCCTCCCCTCCTCCTCCTCCTCCCTCCTCCTCCTCCTCTCCCTCCCTTACCCCCCAGCCTCCTCCTCCTCCTCCTCCTCCTCCTCCTCCTCCTCCTCCTCCTCCTCCTCCTCCTCCCTCCTCCTCCTCCTCCTCCTCCTCCTCCTCCTCCTCCTCCTGCATCGCGCCGCCGTCCAAGTTGGCGAGGTCTCCTCCGCGATATGGACAAGGTCACTAACCCGACGACCATCTGGGCTCAATATTTAGCTCACGATCACTCTCCCGCCGCCTCTCCACCTCGACGACTGCGAAGACGCTCTAGAGGTTATCGAAGACGCGGCAGAAACCAGTCGCCCCTCTCTGTCTGCCTTCTCTGAATGCGCTGGCTGCATGACTTTTTCTCTCCTATCTTATTTGCCTTCATTCTTTGAGGCAAGTTGCAGCCTAATTATCGTCTTATCGCCTGTGTGCTATTTTTCCTTGCCACTGGCACAGAGAACCTTGTCAATATCCGATACGTCATGCATGCCCATGCAGAGGCCATTGACCAGGCGTGGCCTCGCGTGCGTCAGGCCGGTGGATGCATCGAAAGGTCAGTAGGAATATTGGGTCATGTCGAAATGCTCTGTATCAGTTGCAGGAGTCCGAAAGCACGCCGGACCTAGAAACTCCCTCGAATAAACAGCGTCTCGTAACGTCTCTGCTCATCAATGCAATGACTTACCCTCAAGCGCCCATTACGTGCGGGCTGGGAGAAGATGAAGACGACGCTTAAACCTGAGCATGAAGCAAGACCATGCAAGAATGTGCTTTAAAAAAATAATACATATATGCTGACTGTCAGCTGCATGCAAACAATGCATTCAGAAAAAAGGCGATAAGAAACCAGGAAAACAACCCGCATTTCTTCACAGAGAAAACTTATTCCAAAGAAAACGGTTGCACAAAGGGAAATAAAAGTGTGATCAGATACAAAGAATGATGAAAAGGATGGAATAAGCAAGGGAGAGAGAGAGAGAGAGAGAGAGAGAGAGAGAGAGAGAGAGAGAGAGAGAGAGAGAGAGAGAGAGAGAGAGAGAGAGAGAGAGAGAGGGAGAGAGAGAAGAGAGGGGAAGGTGGGCGGTCTCAGGTTGGGTCGTTGTCCCCTCAGCCGGGTTTATGTTCAAGGGGAGAGGAGGGGCGTGAGGGAGGGGAGGTTCTCAGCAGTTGCTTGGTCTATTTTCGAGAGTGTTGCTGGTTGGTTGGGCAAGGGGAGAGTTGAGGAAGCGCTCTCTCTCTCTCTCTCTCTCTCTCTCTCTCTCTCTCTCTCTCTCTCTCTCTCTCTCTCTCTCTCTCTCTCTCTCTCTCTCTCTCTCTCAAATGCATTTCATGCTTAACATAATGCTTCACTTACATCATGAAATCTAATTACAAAATGAAACAAAAAGAAAGCCAAATGAAGGTGCCAAGAAGTCAACCATACAGGTACACAGAGAAACAAAATATATAAACTGTAATAACAATGCAGAAGACATACCTTGCAGCCCTCGCAGGAGTGTACGCCATAGTGGAAACCTGAGGCCTTGTCTCCACACACTCGGCACAACACAGTCGTCCCGTCAAACTCTGTTGAGGAGAAAATACAATTTTAATTATCAGGGCAATTCTCGGGAGCAAGAGGTGGCGGTGCTAGAAGGCACAAGGGGACAGCGGGTGAAAGAAGGGGTAGCAAGGGGAAGCCACAATGAGAAAGGGCTACAGGTGTTACGAGCTCCGTTGCTTAGCCTCTTACGGACAAGTAAACAAATCAAGTGAAACGAAATAATTATATGATGTTAACTAATTCTATTACATTTGAAACACAGTGGGAAATTAATTTATATCAAGGAATGTTTTATAACCGCGTCCGTAAATTTAAAAAAACACACAAACAAAAGTGAAGTTTAAAAGCCGGGAGGCTGCTAAGTCTCGCTAAACTTTCTCCTTCATTCATCAGGGCGGATGAGCCATCGAGAGTGAACAGAAGAAGCAGACTTCTTCCTCGCCGATCAACAAGTAAGAAAGACACTGTCCTGATTTGTCGCGAAAAGTGATGCATTTTCACTGGATATGACTGGAGAAGAAAACAAAAATATCCTCAGTATCCTTCAGTAGTGTATATCTCTAAGTGAAATACCCAAGATCATACACATCACTTCTCTTACATCTAATCCTTCGTCGAAGTCACTGTTTACATTTAAGAGTTTCCGAATTCGTAAAAGTCAAGATTAAAGAAGTACGTCCGTCTACACAACGAATCCCGTCCACCGTCGAGATTAAAATACTCACCGATCACAGTCTTGTCCACCAAGACTTGAGAGTCCGCAGGAATCTCATACATATCCTGATCGCAATACATTGTTACAAGTATGCGCAAGAGACTCCCAGAGGGTCTTCAATGTATCCCAGGACACACTCGGAACAACCACTAACTCTCACTGACACATGGTAAATCCGACACAAATATGTATGCTCTCACCGATCTTCATTATCCTTCTCGGATATCAATGCTTCGACACTGATAAGTCACTATTTTACCAGAAAAAGGCAAGTGCTATAGGCACTATGTTTCCTCAACAATGTTATCACTGTGGTAAAATACGACAAACACCATTGATATATCCAAAGTAAAGTCCACTCTCACAGCGTCCCATAAACAGGCACGTTAAAGTTAGTCAACACGTGCGCGAGACCAAACTCGATTTCACTGTCAAGCCGCCACGACCGAGCGGGAAAGTGGGCGATGTTATACTGGCAGCGTGTTGGCGGTGGCGGGGCCGGGGAGCTGGAACTACGAGCTGTGGTGTGGGGTGGCGGGGGAGGGGGGGAGGCCGGCGTACGGGCGAGAGGGGGAGGGGGGAGCGGGGCCAGTCACTCACTGAGGCGGGGGGGAGGGAGGGCAGGGAGCTCTAGCAGCCACGTCGGAGCCTGAGGACCACGGAGGTACGAACACATAAACATAAGAGCTCGGCTCATGCACACCCTCACCATCAGCTCCCACGTGGAATAGTGTGTCTAAAGAACGGCAAAGCTCCATCCCTGCAAACTCACCTCTGACAGCTTTCGTCGAGGCCAGTGACGTCACAACTTCCGTGACGTCACGTTGAGGGACAATGACCCTCTCCTTAGGCCCAAACGAATCCCAACTCCCCACACTTCCACCTGCTTCTCACTCCCCCATATCACATAATACAATTTCCGGAGTTTGCCTTTCACCATACATATATGTGAAGTACGTGTGGGAAAAAGATGACTGAAAATGCACAAGGAAAATGCAGTTTCTTTCTCGACAAAGTAACATTCACATACTAATTTTCTCAAAGAAAAAAAAATCAATAGAATCGAGGACGCTGCGAATTCGATATTAAGTCATGCTCTCCTTTGTTTCTCGCCCCATGTGTGTTTTGAATATAAACCTGTTTCCCTCCCTTACTGCCCTCCTGGTCCGCAAAATATCGACCAGTCGTCTCCTCGTTTTAAATTGTTGGCAGAACCAGATCAATATTGCCACATTAACTGGTATCCCCTCACCACCCTTCTGTTCTCCCCGCAGAGCCAATTATATTTTAAAATCGATGTAGTGCTCCGAATTGGATCAATAAAATACCAACCAAAGTAGTCCTCGTTTCCAAATGCTTCCCAATGTGAAATACACGGAAATACCTTCATAAGAAGCGACAAGGCCCAGGTACACATCTCATTCCCTATATAACAATTTTATCCTTACGTCCCTCAACACCCACTTTGTACCGAGGGTCAGCCTGTCCCGAGGCCCACCAGCGCCTCTGCTTTCACTTTTTAAATCTCCGTGGTTACCATTGTGGGGCTCAGGGAGGGAGTCTGCCTGCCCGCCACTTTTACACGTGGTCAACCTCGTGGACATAGGAAAGTAACCGGCAATTGTATTACCTTTCACGATCGCAACTCCGTGAAGAAAACAAACTTCACTTTAAATTTTCCGACTTGCGTAAAAGCGTGTGCGAGAGAGGACAACCGAACAGTGTCCTTTATATACTTCTATTATTGCTATCTTATCTTTTTTGTTCTTAGCAGGATATGATTTAACCAGGAAGTGCATGTTGCCCTGCAAAGACCTTGCTAGGATGAGGAAGAAGGAAGCTGTCGGTAGGGTTCGTGTATGGGGCGGACTCGAGCCTAAATGTGAGGCAGAATGTTGTCTTTTCAATGTCAAGGTATAACCTCGTATTTATAGCCGTCAGTAGCTATACCTGAATCTCATTATTGCTGTAATTATACCTAGACATGTTCTAAATATATCTGTCCGTTGATATTAGTTCCTTCGTATAAATTAGGACTTGATCTTAAAAGATAATAAGGCAGGATCTGGACCCGGGACCGCATGGAAGTGAGTGGCAACTCGCACCTAACCTTCACCCGTATTTTGCTCCGCGCCGCCTCCCTCCCCCTCGTTCTGCAGGACTTACCCAATATACCTTTCAGTAATCACGTTACCATTTCTTTGTTTACGTGAATATAAACCACTTTGTCACTTGACCTACATATATTAAAATATGAATATACAAACACTATTCTTTAAATCGTCATCAAATCTAGAAATAAAAATAATCTATTTGTGCTTTCATTCCCCGGGAGGACGAGGAGGGATGTGAGTTGACAAGAGTACTTTTCGGCGGTGGCGTTGGCCCGGACATCAAAGTCAGTGGCGGGTTCAAGGCTAAACCAGGGAATAACTACGCCTCGCATATTGCGCGATGCAGTGTTCACCATCGAGCCCGGTTTCTGTATAATTTACAAACCTAAAAGTTAATGAACTACAGATAATTTTCACAGTGTATGACTAATCGAAATATATGATAGTAACGTATATAATGAAACAGTAATAAATGTCGCATCGTTTATGTCCCACCAAAAACCGCCGGTATTTAACCTTGACATGATGTAAAGGACAAAACAAGGTGCAAAAAATGGCCTCACCAAAACCAGGGCAGCAGCCAAAGATCATCCCTTGCAGCCAGCCAACAGCCCCACCACAGTGCTGAGACTGTTGGTCCACATGAAGGTCGCCAGCACAGGCAGCAGGGGCGCGGTCAACGCCCTACGTCAAGGCCCGTCCTCTTGCCAGCCAGCCAGCCTGGTAGGAACAGCACTGCCCTGCCACACACCCGCCCCTTCAACCACGCGCCACAACCACGAGGACACGTCGCCTCTCACCCACGTCGCCGATAAGGAGTGGTCTCTCCCTCCCTTCTCCCCCTGGGGACGTTTCACCAGTGTTTTCAATTCGCATCTAATTGCAGCGGTCAACCCTTCCGACGATGACAATGGTGGCCACCTGAGACCGCGCTGCCCAGCTTCAATCACGGGGCCCGCTGACACGCTTAAATGCACTTGAGCTTGTTTAGGGTGCGGATGTTTCTGTTCCCAGCTGCATTGATGCACCCAGTGGGTGTTGCTCTCGCGGGGGAGGTGACTCACCCAGGGGAAGTATAAATAAATAGTCATCGACGAGCCTAAGGATACTTGTGCCAGCCACGGAGCTCCTCCATGGCCTGGTCCTCGCGGCTCTTAAGGCAGAAGACCGACGCACTTCCTTGATCCCTGAGCGTGAATTCACGTAATGACCTTTTCCTTAAACAGTCGATCATGCCATTTTAGCCCATAAAAGTCTGTCATTAAGCTTCTCACCCCCTCTGAGACCTTTTCTAGTTACCTTGGGTCCAGTCTAACGTTAATAGTTATGTAGCCATTAAAGTCATTGACATGATGAATCCAATGAGTGCTGTCCTTCACTTGTTGCTAGGGGGTCCTGAGCGTGGGTGCCTTAGGTACCCCAGCCTGCATCAGTATCGCTGCGTCTGTTTCTCTTGTTAATATATCAATGCTGTACAATATAATTTATAGGATTATGTACAAAATTTTTACAAGTGTCCTTTTACCCTTTCATCAAATCCGATCCGCCTGCACCCTCTCTTCGCTCTCCGCCTGACATGAATGGCCTTCGTCGTGAGCAAGATGCAGTAACGCGATCCAATTCCGGCGCGGCCGTGCGGAGAAGGGAAAGTAAGAGGTGCTGAAAGAACAAGTAACGAGAGAGCCTGTTGTGGGGCGTCGTTGCGTCATGGGGTGCCCTTGTGGCCGCTGCCGTGAGTTCCTGACTCCTGTGACTTGCAACTCGTTCTTCGTGATGTAACTTTCCCGACACAATCGGAACCTTTCCACTCTAAGTGGTTGAAAGCCTCGCCATTATTATTGTTTATCTTTTTATTCGTTCTGAGCCATTTGCAAGATATACGTGTCGAGGTAATTGGGTCCAGCAAGACATTCACTTAAGGCCGGGCTGTCCGAGCACGATCAAAAATAACATTCTTTAGGGTAAAGTTTATACGGTAAACCGGTGTTCAGATTTCTGTAGCTTGGAGCGTCAAGGTCAAGGATACAAAGGACATCGGGGGTGGGAAGGGCGGGGGTGACGTGGGGGGAGAGGAGAGGCGGAGGAGAAAGTCTCGAAGAGAGATGAACGATGACGGGCAGTTTGACTAACAAACTAAAGTAAAACGAAAGTAAAAGTAAACTGATAAAATATACTAAATACCTGAAGCTCTAAC